CGCACCAGATAAAGGTTATTGACTGCTGGCCCGGCCCCAGCCCAGCCCCCCACCCTGAGGGGCCACCCAAAAGCACATAAGAGCACTTGTGTAGGCGACGTTTTGTGGCCGACGTAAAACGGTAGCCTGATGGCGATATGAAATCAGTCCCGTCACCAGGCACTCGTCGGGGTGGCGGCGCGGGGAGTGGTGTGGCAGAGGAGGGGGTGGTTCAAGCCAGACACGCACCGGGGCCGGCGCCCGCCACGCCACACCACTCACAGCGGGGCGAGGAAAAAGTTACGCGATCGAAAAGATAAACTTATCCAATCCAGGCTATCACGCTGGTGCTGGCCGAGTGCAGCGCCTCCTGGGCCACGGCGGCCGATCGATCCGACCGACGACGACTACCCGCCGAGCTTAAAAGCCGAGCCCCGAGCCGGTCATCGTCCAGGTCGGCGGTGGCGTCGTCACCCACGCACGGCCCGGGGCGCCGCCACCCGCCCTGCCGGCCGTTTAGTTGTAGAGCAGTTTACTGCCTGCGTTCCGAAGCCTCTCCGCTTCTCTGCTGCGACTTTACGAGGCCGTCCTCCTCCCATTTCTTGATTGTCCGATCAGCGTTAGTAATTGCCTCGTGGAGTCTTCGGCGCGGGCGCAACACTGCTGCTGCTCGGGCCCCGCGGGCGGCGGGCGGGCGCCGCACAGCAGCCGCTACAGCCGTGGAGGTAGGCCGCCCGCTCGGTAGCACTGCCCAGCGGGCCGGCCCAGCCCAGGCGCCTGCCGCCGCCCGCCGCGCCGCCCTGCCGTCCCTCTGGCTTGAACTCTTGTTCGCAGGTGCCACTTCATACACACGTGTCCTAACGACGCCTTTTCTCCTGTCTTTTGCAGAATGACGAGCCCGCAGAGCAAGCCCAAGAGGAAGTGGCACTTCCCCACCGGGGACGGCGACAGCGCGCTGCCCACCATCTCGCTGCCCGAGGGCGTGTCCATGTCCGGGCTGCTGGGGCCGGAGAACGCCCCCCGCGGCTACGGCTGGACCCGGCTGTGGCGCTACGCGTCGCTGCTGCTGCACACGGGGTGCTGAGCGGCGCGCCACCAACCTGACGGCGGCCTCGACGACAGAGTCGACGACCACCCCCGCCATGCCAACACGCCCCGGCCCGCGCGCTCTCCCTCGCTACCTCGCTCCGCACTTTCTGTTGTTGTCATTTTCGTTGAGGTTGAGTTACCTGATCAGACCAGAGACGTGAGGGCAAGGAGTGCTCCACGCGTGTCGCGTACCCATGCGGTAACGGGATGTGACGACACGTGACGAGACGTGACGACATGTGACGCACGGGGGCATCCAACGACGACGCGTCTTCGATGAGCACCCGAGCCGCAATTCAGTCAGGAGTAGGATGGATGGTTATTTCCGAAGTTCTGTTTCAGTATTAAGCTTCTACCTTATCCTGCCGGGGTGATTTTTTTGGAGACGTAGAAAAAAAATAAGCAGAAGGAAAATAGTGTATGCGTTACATGGCGCGTTCGTGGTTGCTTCTCGACGGGTTCACTAACTCTGCGAGTCGAAACCTCCAACACACCGTTGACGTGTTTTGATCTTTTTTCAATAAATGAGTAAGTCTTTCCGAGACCTACTAGCCTTTTATTCCATTTGTGTACAAGTCAACACGAAAGTATTGTACAATATTGTAACCTTTTCTTTTATATTTAGAATTCTGAGGCACAAATTATTTCATAGAGTGTGGTCTTGAGGGAACTGAGTTCGGCCCTTAATCCTTTGTATCTGAGCCACGACCTTCGTGGCACGATCACTTCGAACGGTTTCCTTAGATATCTCTCCATAATCCTTGGTACGAGAGTTGTCATCACGAGTTCGTAATTAAAGGACCGCCTGGGGGAAGTCCGGCCCACCTGAGGTCGAGGTCAAGGAACAGAGGACCGTGACCTTTCTCCGAGTCCGTCAGGACACGTCGGATTAGATTCCAGGATAAATGAAAAACGTTTGATGCCGGTGTAGTCACTAAAAATCAATTATTTGTTTTAATTCTTGTAGCTCAGCAGGGTTGAGTGTATATGAAGCTGAATCTGGATGTTGTTACTATGTGTGTTGCTTCTATGATTCACATGCAATTTATCGGCTGTTGACTATTAATGATAAGGCTGATAAAACTGACAGATGGTGTGTATTTGTGTGTGTGAATGTGACTGAGATTATAAAAGAAACGAGTTATGGGGGTAATGGGTAATGTGCCATGCTACTACACCACCTGGTCTCATTGATTTATTGTCAGCCTTTGTCTGTGCCTTCCAACAACAATAATTATTTTCTTCTTCATTCTGAGAAACAATTTTGTGGCAAATATAATAATGGCATCCCCAAGCTAGTCCAAATGATGAAGTAAATCAGTAGAATAATCCCATTTCTGAATGAGTGTGTTTACCAATATTTCATGAGCTCCGGGAGTAAATCATACTTTGTGCTGCTGTGTTGTTTGAACTTGTATCAATTATGTTGTGATAGAATCATTGAACAGTTATGTGTCTCCACTTGTTTTCTAGTACGATTTTTTCTTAAATGTTTTAATGTGGTAGGTTTCCTAGTTGATGTGTTCCAATATCTCATTTGAGTGTTGTTATTGGGTGCTGCAATACATTATGGCAGGCTCATGTTATGTTAGTATAATTTGTAATTCTATTATAAAAACAAACGTGTGAATAATGAAAATGTTTTGTTTTTGACCTCTTTACAATTATTCACTGAGGGGGATTGGATAAACACAGCACAAAATGCAATGTCCACCCCAAAATCACACAAGCTACGATTCTAGGTTTTAATGATATCACTTTCATTCTGTACAAGTAAAAATTTACAGTGCTTAATATTTAAATGTATTAAGCTGATAGATTTTACATAGACTTATCAACAATTATTCTAACGATAACAACCCAGTGTAGAATAATCTCACATCACAATACATAGCATTACTATTAAAAGTTTTACCAAAATTTTGCTCACATCAAATAAAGTTGTAGTAAGAAGACAAGCAAAGTTTCTGCTTTAAACACATATAAATTATCATTTTCTTTGTACAAACCACTTGTAAAGTAAGATAGGATTCAAGTTACTGACAGGTTGGTTCCTGATAGTTCATTAAAATTTCACATTGAAGAGAAAAGCTACCTCTTCAAGCAAACCTCTTTAGTTAAAAAAAAATCTGCATTACATGTTGAATAGAAATTGGTTTAAACTACTACTCAATACTTTGAAGTCTTCTGCTTCAAGACTGCTTGTACACACTTAGCCATAGTAGGTGATGCTCTGCTGATAGCATCTGTCATAAAGAAATCTTGAAGTTCCTTTAACTTCACATCAAGTGGAGTTGAAGCTAGCTGGGCCTTCACAGTCTGTTGGGAGAAAAGAATGAAATTCATAAAAGGAGGCTTACCAAAAAAAAAAATATATCTGGAATAGAAAAATTGAAAACATACCTTGGAGAGCTCTACTGCCTGAGCAAAGTAGTTGGCATTCTCTGCTGATCCATAACGAGTCAGGTGAGGAGCAACCTCTGTGAGCCTTTGCCTGACTCCATTAAGATCATCGTAGGGGAGAGACTCACCCAGAACCTGAAAAATACACAAGTGAAAAATAACTAAGAATAAATCTATGATGGACCAAAATGCGAACACAGTAGAAAAAGAAACAAACACAAACCTCTGACAATGCCCGAATAATCTTCCAATCAACACGGGCCATTCCTGGTGGTGTGACGGCAGCCAGTGTCTGTTGTGTTCGGCCTTCAGTGCTAACATATGTGCCTTGTTTTTCTGTGTAAGTTGCACCAGGAAGAATAGCATCAGCCATTGACGCTCCCTGATCTCCATGGTGTCCTATTATTGTAAAGAAAAACAATTCAACATTTTTTTCACTACCTTCACTCTAAGCCTTGTACACATAGACAGACACAAATACATGCCTAAGTAAACCACAAAACAATCCTTGGGCAGATCAGCTCTGGTAATAGTGCCTTCATCAGCACCTAAGAGGAACAAAACTTTGGGAGGATCCTCACGGATGGCACTAACACCTGGCTTGTAGCCAATATCTAGAGCAGCAACTTGAGAGGCAACCTGCTGTAGAACATTGAGAATTTTCCATTCCTGAAACATAAGAGTATGATAATGTGACTTAATAAAACATAAAACTTAAGGAAAGGAACACACAGAAAAATTGAGACTCGTCACAAACCTTATCACTATTAGATGAACTGAGAGATTGTGATAGCTGTTGAACTGCGGCTAGAATAGCTGCAGCATCCTGCCTCCCGAATTGTTGACCACCCAAAATAATCATCGGCTTCTTAGCTGAAGACAGTTTTTTGTTGAATGGATGCTGACCAGATGCCAACTTCTTCAAGGTTGTAGTATCATCACCTAGATGCTGTATCAGATATAATTATTTCAGGAGCATTAAGTCAAACAATGTTGCCAAAATAAAAGTAGAGAAAAAGTTGCAAAAAATAAATAAGAAAAAGAGAGACATGGGGTGAACTTTAAACCAATAGCATAATTAATATGTACCTCATAATCATATGACAGATCAACCTTTGGCCCCAATAGAGCCACATCACATTCCTTGTGAATCCAGGTCTTGCGGATCCTAGCGTTTAAGAGAGGAGCTTCATAACGAGGATTGGTACCAATTAAAAGAATAAGATCAGCATCCTCAACTCCTACAAAAAAATGATAACAGTACTGAGTTACATTAAAAACATAATTATTAAAATGAACAATTGATACAACAAACCCTACCTGCAATTTTGTTGTTAAGGAGGTAACTGGAACGCAGGTCAGTTCCTGAGCCATCTTGAGGGAATGTATGTTCTGTACACAGAGCCTCAGATCCAAGTTTGTTCAATAGATCTTTCAGTGCAATAAGAGCCTGCAGTCAAAGAAATGTTTCAGAAAACTTGTCCAAAATTGGTTTGAAATTCCAAGACAGCACAATGCCTACCTCAGCATCAGCTAAACCTCCAGCAACAGCAGCAGATTGACCTCCTGCCCTAAGCAAAGCTTTAGCAACACCAATAAGAGCATCTTCCCACTCTACTGCGGTTAGCTCCCCATTTTCATTTTTCAACATAGGGGCAACTAAACGTTGACGCTTTAGTCCATCACAAGCGAAACGAGATTTGTCTGAAAGCCACTCTTCATTCACGTCCTAAAAAAGGCAGAAAGTTTAAGCAACAAAGAAAACATCATTTTGTATCAGAGTTAAAAACAGAACAAGAAATACTTAGCACACCTCATTCAGTCTGGGAAGAATTCGAAGCACCTCTCCTGTTCTGGTTGCCACAACAATATTACTGCCCAATGCATCCATGACATCAACACTCTCAGTTTTGCGGGTTTCCCATGGCCGTGCAGTGAATGCATATGGTTTTGAAGTTAGAGCTCCAACAGGGCAGAGGTCTATTACATTACCAGAGAGTTCAGATAAAAAGAATTTCTCAACATAAGTACCAATCTGTAAGAAAGGCATTTTAAAGAGACATGATTTAGTTCAAATAGATAGAGAGAAAAAACAATCTGACAATAAGAGAAAAGTACTAATTCTCCTCCTTACTTGCATATCAGAACCACGACCAGTCGTTCCCAGATCATCCACTCCAGCAACCTCAGATGCAAAACGAATACAGCGGGTGCAGTGAATGCATCGGGTCATGACAGTTTTAATAAGAGGTCCAACATCTTTGTCCTCTACAGCTCTGTAATACAAAGTGACAATTTAATAATAAATATAATTTCAAATCCTTTACAGACAAAAATCTAAATTGATTTTACCTCTTTCCATCAAACTGAATGTCAGTAAAGCGGCTTCTGTCACTTCCAAACGCCATACTCTGATCTTGTAGATCACACTCTCCACCTTGATCACAAATCGGGCAATCAAGAGGGTGGTTTACAAGTAAAAATTCCATGACACCTTCTCGAGCTTTCTTGGTCATGTCTGAGTTGGTTTTAATCCTCCAACCTTTCATCACAGGCATAGCACATGCAGCAACAGGCTAAACAGAAGAAAATGAGAATAATTCATTTCTGGAGATGATATGATGAGAAAAACCTCACATATCAAATAAAATCGATCAAGTACCTTAGGAGATTTTTCTACTTCCACCAGGCACATACGGCAATTTCCAGCAACGGCCAAACGTTCATGATAGCAAAACCTAGGAATTTCAACACCAACCATTGCAGCTGCCTAAAAACATAAACAATAGAGGGTTCAAAACTGGAGTTCAGCATCACCTAACTGTTCTATTCAAATAATATATTGACGTTCACCTGCAACACTGTGGTGCCAGGCTCCACCAATACAGGTTTGTCATCCACAAAAACCTCTATTTTTTCAAGTTGCACCGGGGTACTAGAAATACCACGCAATGCTGGTGACAACTGTCGTAAATTTGGAAGGCTCAAGGCCTTGTGTAAGGGTACTCGAAGCATTCTGTAAAAGAAAACAACTCATTTGAAAAAATCACCTCCTTCACAATGTTACCTAAAAAACATTGACACGATGAAAATTAGAATGCACTGTAGGTAAGGAAGTGGAGTAGAATGCTCAATGTCAATACAAAACTGACCCGAAACAATGAATGACAACAAAATGTTAAGTAACATACAAGCAGAAAACAAAATCAAACATAACCTAAGCCAAATTATTGCACAACATATATTAGGGACATTTCCCAAATAAACCATACAGGAAGCATACGATATCGTATCAAAACATGGAAAGGAATAAAGTAAATAAGAGATTTTAATAATGAAAACTTTTGACCTTTAATTGAGGTAACGTCACTTGAAACAGTGTAAGAAAAGTTTTAAGACAGGTCAGTCACTTTTTGACAATGAAAATTCTATTAGAAGTACAAAACGCAGCAATACCTGAATCGTTAAATTTATGTCCTATAAATGTGTACAAGTGTTCTTATATCCGAGTCGTGATGTTTGACGAATTTCGGCTGGTTAGAAATGCAGAAGTTACAAGTCAAACAGACCACATCTTTCTACAGGGCGTCTGAAAATCTGACCGTTGTAGACCAGTTTCAAAATTGAGGAGATGCTACCGGAACCGGACGTCACCTTCTGAATCAATCACACCTGTTCCGTTTCTCCGGCATGTGCTTCGCTCTGTTGGAAGTAACCAGAACTAAAGCTTCCGGATTTTGCTAAGTGGTGGCGTTGCTGTCGATCCAAGCACCAAGCACAAGCAGCTATGACGTCATATTTTTTAGTACACATTCGTGTTCAAAAGTAGATGGGTGTGTGGATGCCTCCGTTCGGTTTTCTCAAGTTGTGAACGTTCTGTGCCGTGAAATATGTGCAGTGAATAGAAATTTTTATCATGTGCAGTGTTTTACAAAATTAAGGAGTCATGTTTCGTTGTATTCCCATGTTTAAGGGATGTAATCGGCAAGTGGAATATGTTGACAAGCGTCACCATTCCCTTCATACCGTCCCCGAAGAAATTATACGATATTCAAGGAGTTTGGAAGAACTTTTGCTAGATGCAAACCACATCCGTGATCTTCCAAAGGTAAAATTCCTGCTTTCTTTCATATCTTTGTTTTGTTGGCTATGGACCTTTAGGGAAATAATCTAGAGGTTTTGGCTTAACCTGACTAGAGTTATACGTGTTTATGTTTCTTTGCTTTATTAATTCCTACAAATAAATTGAAATAATACTCGAATGGAAAAATGTGAATTTTACTGCCCGTCGTCTGAAAAATATACTGTGAGTCTTTGCAGGCTTAGAAATAATGAACAGTACGTCCTTAATCACGGACGATTGTTGCGGCTTCGAAACTGCCTCTAACCTGTACCGAGGCATCTCACTTAATAAGAATTCAATCTTCTTTCTGTGTGTAACCATAATTATTGATGAGTGTAATTGAATTATCTTAAGCAATTTTTACTTATGATTGGGTACGTTTGATGGTCTTTAGTTTGTTTATACTTCTCAACTCATCAACAAGTGGGGACATGTCTAGGCCAGAAAATGATTTATTTGTTCCTCCTCCGTCTTTCATATGATTTCTCCCTATGTTCATTATTTGTTCATTTCAAAAAATAACAAAACAATTAATATAATGCATATTATTGCGTTTTTGGGACTGAACTCTTTGAATGGAGCTGAAGTTTCACGTATATTAGACTTGACTAGTCTGTTAAATATTTTACTGTATTCAGATTTTAAAATAAAATCTGTGAACATGTTTGGTTTTAAAATTATCAAAGTTGTGCATTTGTATATTATTGAATTTAAAAAAAAAATATAGGAATGTAATTTGTAAACAAAAGATTTCCTCAATATCATTCGCATGTTGATAGTTACGATAATGCTTGACACTCTTTAAATTAGTACAATAGTATTTGTATCTATCTTAATGTCTAAAAAGAAGAATTCAGTAATGTTTTTATCCCCTGAATCATGCTGGTTGAACAATTTGATCTAAATATGCTTGTTGAGTAATTCTAATGGTCTATGTCTGTGATTCGGATTGCTTTCAGAATTTCTTCCGCCTTCATCGTCTAAGAAAATTAGGTTTAAGTGACAATGAAATTCGGCTACTGCCTGCCGACATCCAAAACTTTGAAAACCTGGTGGAGTTGGATGTCTCTAGAAATGGTGAGTAAAGCTTTGTATAGCTAGCTGTCACATTCAGCTATTACATCTGTGTTGCACAGTTAACTAGTTTTAACGTTAAATGTATCCCACCACCCATAAATTAGTAATAGGGGGAAAGGTGATCTTTTTGTTGTCTTATGAGCAGAAGTCTGAAATCACGGGTGAGCTTTTGGATCTGTGACCGTGTCAAGGACTCTCTGCGCATTGTGTGTGTCGCTTTGTCGAGGCGTGTATAGAGCGTGCGTGCCGTCCCACTCGCCGCCGGGATCAGGCCCTGCGTGGCCAGACACCCTGCCGACAGGGGCCCCCCCGCCCCCTACCGCCGGTAGCCCTAGCGACACCTGCTTGAGCTTGCACCGTCACTCGTGCAGAATGTCAATGTGCTTGCTTCACCCCCCCC